TAACTTAACCACATTCCTGTGGTTGGTCTGAGAAAGAATGAAGACTTCATTGATGAATTGGGCAAGCTCAACTTGATTGCTTATATTGGGCATTTTAATGGCAACCACACGTTGGTCGGACAGGATTCCTTTATAGACGTGGCCATGGCCTCCCCCGCCGATGATTCTGGTTTTGTCGAAATGATTGGTGGCCTTTTCCAACTCCTCCAGCTCATAGATCTTCATCCTTTCGATCAGAGCTACATCCGAAGAAGAAGATTGTTCTTTTCTTAGCAACTCTAGATTCTGCTGATAGAATTTCTCCTTCCTTTTCTGGACGGTTCTCCGCTTCACCATTCTCGACAGTGCAACAGTAGCTACGAGAAGCAGAACACTGCCCCCTCCAACGCTTACACTGGCTACGATGATAGTTTCTGCAAGCAAAAGGGGTTGTGCACAACGTCATCGTCGGGAGATCCCCACGCGATCGTAATGTTTAGGGGTCAAGAAGGAGAAGAATCATGTGGGAATGTAAAGGAAGAATGCTTACTCGAGCTTGAGGAGCTTGAACTGTAACTATGACATGCCGATAAGAAAGGGTCGCCGCTCATGCCTTCGGGGCATATGCATGAGTAATTCCCAGGTAAATTGGCGCACAATCCATGGCATGGATACTTTTCTGGGTGATCGCACTCGTTGATGTCTAATAGCAGAGCGGAGGTAAGCAGAAAGAAGCAGATAGGCTGGTTACATGGTGAGAGAAGAAAGAGGGAGACCTTCGCATCCGCCTTCTACGTAGGGGTTGCCGTGATAACCGCCCGAGCAATTGCAGAGATATCCGATGCCATTGGTGGCGTTGAGGCAGGAACTGTTATTGCTGCGGCATGCGTAGGAGGTCAAATTTTGCGGTGCTTCCTCGCATCCCACGTCGTCGCCTATCGACCAGTCCAGCACCATCGGAACTCGGCCGCCATTTCTGTAAAAGAAGTCAGTTCCATTGAGATCGGTGGTTCGGAAGGAGTACCAACTGCCGTCGACGAGGAAAGCAAAGCTACAGGGGTTGTCCCACGAGATCTCCTCGTGGCCGGTGGAGGAAAAGGTTATGTTGAAGAATTGAAGCCCACGGAGAATGGAGGTCTGGCAACAGCCGGCGCCGGAGCAGGAACCGTTGCTGAAAGTGGTGTTGTCGTTGCAGATAGACACGCAGCCGGTCGAATAGGACTGATCAGTGGCACCGACGAAGAGCGCGATGGTGTCGCATCCGATGGCCGTGAACTTGTTGCGGGTGTCGGAGAACGTGTAGTGCGAACCAGTAAGGTCCATTGGGATTGATACTTTGGCTGGGAAGACGGAGTCGTCGCAGTCCCAAGATATGCGCTTGTACACTCTTGCTTGCCCATTCGGAACATCCACACCGATGACTTGTATGTTGCCAGCGTAGAGTTTGGATTCGGTTACGTCGCAGGAGAGGTCGAATCCGTCCCGGTAGCAGCCAGGCTCGATGCCGAACGGGTAGGGAACGTCGATGCTACCGCATCTCCTGGTGCAGTTTTGCTCGAATGCCATTGCCGCGGTTGCCGCGAGCAGCAGCAGTAACAGCAGCAGCTTGCGGCTCATCATCACTCTCTCCTCCTCTACCTCCGTCGCCGACTTTCCGGGCCTCCTGCGAACTCCTTTAAATCGGGAGGACTACACATCTTCGTCGTTCCAATCGAGCAGAAGCAGGACAGAGACATCGTCTTGGAAGCAACGCTACATGGATTATTAATTGCGCTATTAAACATGTTCTAAAAACAAAATTGAAACATCAGCGCATCTGCCTCGTTGAAACCGAAGCCAAGGAGGAACCTTTGACATCGCATAGGACGAGAATGATGCTTTGTGTTGGGGTGTGCAACTGTTTAAGCCGTGGCCTCGGGCCGATGCGGCTCGGTTCGGGGGTCCGAATGTGGGGGATCTCGGGCGGCGTCCCTCGGGGCCTCCCGGCGACCGAGCACGGTGGTTCGAGTTGGGAGGTCGGGTCGGTAGGTCGAGTCGGGAGGAAGCTCCGCCGCAGCACCGGGAAGAGGCGGCACCGTCTCGCACATGCACACAGGTCGGGCCGGGAGCTCGGCCCGACCCCTCCGACGATCAAGTTAGCGATGTGGAGAAGGTTTTGGAGTGAGAGATGCCTCCATACAAGTGTTGTGTGTGAGTTCGTCCTCGTAGGGGTTGTGCGTATTCCCTCCTTTCCTCTGTTCGTTTAGAACTCTGGGGTATTTATAGATGAGTTTGATGATACCTGATGTGGCTGCTTGCAGGAGGCAGGCTAGTACATCTCGTGGCGTCTAACATTGCCATTGGGGTTGCGTGGAGAACCGGGTTGCCGTAGGCTATGGGTACGTCTCGGTCGACGTGCTCCTTTGCCTCGGTCGAGCGCACGAAGTCAAATGAGGCTGTTGGTTGAGAGCTGGTGACGTTGGCGCATATCAAGTCAGCATTAATGCTTGCTTCCTCGGGCAGTGCGTCCACCTGGCGTGGCTGACGTCGTGGCATGTCACGTCGCCATTTTTACCCTTATCACTTTGAGTGATGATGCATATGTGCTTGATACTGTCGCCACCTTAACCTTTTATGAATCTGAACCGTTGGAATAATAGATTAATTAAGTATTCTTGTATATATATATATAATATACATATGTATATATATATATATATATATATATATATATATATATATTATGGTTGAAGTAAAGCTGGTAGATGAAGGTTGAATCCATAATACAGTTGACAAAACAATATGAGGAAAAAAAAATAATTAGCCTAATTTTCGAGCTAAATTGATTCGATGCGGTTAGGTGGTGCTCGCGACGCAAATAAGTCGGATTCGGATTCGGATTTGGATTTGTCGCGATTACTAAATGACGGCTTCTCCTCAGGATATGTTATTATGGTATCCGTCGTCTTCAAGCAGCCTTCCGAGTGCAAGAGCCCCTCCAAACCCTAAAGTCCCAATTCCTCTTCGAGACATGGCGGCGGTAGCGGCCGTGACTCCGACCGTCTACGTCTGGCCCACGCTTCACCCCACCAGCCATAGGAGCGCCGCATTGATTCCGTCGGCTCCGCTCCGTTCGTCCTTCGCTAGGTAATCCCGCGAAACCCTCCGCAAGAATTTTTGCCCCCCTTGTTATCCGACGCTTCTCTGTGCGATTAATTGATGTTATTGCAATGTCCCGTTCGAAGTTTCAGTTACTGAATTTGGTATGTTTTCTACCAAATGATTCTTGAGCTTCTTGGATTCTTTTTTAGCTTCCTGGGATGTGATTATTTGGCGTTAATTGATGGCTGGCAGGTTATTTAGAAAGCCATCGAGTAAATTTCGGATAGTATGTATGGCTTCGTCCGCTGCCGGGAGCCCATATGATAGTGGCGATGAAAATCCATATGGGGTAACGCACATTCTCTGGATCTGACATTTCAAGCAAGGGGACTGTTTGTAATGGTTTCTTGGCGTTTTGGCTGGTAGGTTCTTGGTGTTAGTTCGATAGAAGGGTTTGATATGGTGAAGGCGGCATATACAAGAAAGCGTAAGGATGCAGAGCGTAGGGGAGATGAAGCATACCTTGCCAAAGTAGGTTAAGGTTATGGACAACTAGTTTAATTTTTATTGCAAAAACAAGAAACTTTTAGCCTGCTGACCTGCATCTGATTGCTTTTAGTCATTTGCTTACTGTACATTGGGCTGTTTAATTTTACTGGTAATTATAGGTTTCTCTTTCATGTTTCAGCTAGAGAAGGCATATGACAGAATCATGATGTCACAGCTGCAGAGTAGGAAGAAAGGTTTGACATTTGGGTCTTTTAAGGTCGTACTCCTTTATAATGCCTCTTCATTTTTCTCCCTGCAACAATTTTAGAAGCAACTACTAATAATATGTTAGCATTTCTTTAACTGCAATGATTTTTCATAAGTGCGTTATTACTTGATATGTATTGTCAACATCCTTCTGTATCCTAGTCTAAAACCATTGCCATAATTCTGCTGACTTAGAATTTGCTTCATGTTCGATGATTTAGTTTTATCAATATGTTACTTTTATCCATATGAGGAGGCTATGATAATGCCATATTCTGCTAATTTGTCGATGCTGATGATTTGTTTATGGGCTTGAATGTAGATATGGTTACATGACACTATGGTAAGATATCCAATTCTGTGGGAACAATGTAAAGTAGCAAATTTTGGTTGAACCTAGTGTTGCATGATTTTGGATGTCTCTATGACATATTGAATTCAGCTTGTAGAACATGTTGAGAATATCTTGCACATTGTTTGACGAGAGTTCTCGTTGTGCACTAAATTACATTATGTATGTGTTGCAAATTGCATTATTTTAATATATTTATTTTCTAGTTGTGGTATTTAAATAAATATTTTAGTAAAATTACCAATGGATGCATGATTTTGTGTGTCCAATTTCTTTTCTGATTTGGTGATTTCTTGGCTGAATTTTTGCAGCAAACTTATTTTGATTTTGTTTCATCCATATTGTTTTAGTTGGTATCTTTACCTTCAATTCATATGTATTGGTACTTGATTCATAATTCAGGTGTCAAAGGATATCAAGTATGCAGATAAACAGCCAATAGTACCATGGGGACCAAGGTACTCGTCTGGATGGTGCATAATAATGGGTTTATGTTTTTGATTTAGTGCTATACTGTTGTACTAGAATAACCATTTAGGTATGCAAATGCAAGGATCATTATGTTGACCAGCACGAGATATAAAATACCACGTTGGGCAGGTATATTGCTAAATAGGAAAACTCCTTGTAAGGGAAAACTCTTAGTTTTGTCTGATGAGTGTAATGAATACTTTTTGAGAAGTTAGGAAGTTAAGGAACATTGGGTCCCTGGTTTTGAAAAAGACGTCAAGATTTGTAAGGTCACTGTCAGTTGCAATCTTTTCACTGTCTTCTAACATTAATCTGAATTATGGTCATAATGGATGCTGAATTTATACATGACAGGCATACTATACTGATGTTTAAATGGTTCAAACTTGGAAGGACATATGCTGACTCATACAAGTATTTGGTAGGTCAAAATTGGTGACACTGGGGTGATGTGGGGTGTGCAGTACTACTTGAAATGTTTTAATACTATCCCTAGGGAAGACAGAGTAGCATCATATGGATTTGAGCCTCTATCTTGTGTTGTTGAGCAGGGAAGGCTTATCTGGCAAATGTTCTTTTTCTCTTTTCCTCTTTTTTTTTCCCTTTTTTTTTCATCCGAGTGGTATGTGATAAAGATGAGATTTGATCAGGGCCTTGCAATGAATTGACCATCTTTATCAGCTAAGCAAACTGGCACCTTCTTGGAAATGTGGGTTTGTGGGTAAGGAAAGGGTAATTTGGTGAAGGTGGGTTTCAAACCATAACATTGCTAATTCTTACAAATGATGTTAGTGGGGTATGAGCTATAATTTTATGGATATTATCCAGATGTCATTAGATATCAGATATTACATTTAAATTTATTCTGAACTAGTAGTAATGACTAAATTGATAAATAACAGACTATTAATGGTTCTTTTACTTGTATATTTCAAACTTGCTGATGCATAATTGACATCCTCTGATGTAGAATATCACTAGCTAATCTGTATTTTTTTTTTTTTGTATTAGTGTACAATGGCATACCATCCTTGTAGTATTTCTTTTGTTTGATTACCAGAGGAACACTTTTAATGTTTGATGATTTTCATATCTAGTCTGCTTCTATCTCATTGTAGGTATTCCAAGTCTAGTGTGAAGGATATGCGCATTAATATGGCTATATCTGCAGTCTTTGTAAGATCCAAGTTTTTTCTTGAAGTTGATTTCTTTTGAATAGTTTGTTGTTGTGTCCTTGGAATACAAGATTGATGTTTCCATGATAAGTGCAAACTAGTATTTTTTTTAATCTATTATAGACATATCCATCCATAAGAGAGCAGGTGGGCTGGTCAACATTTCATTCTTTTCATATTACAATATATTTATACAAGCCATCAAGCCATCAATAAAAAGCAGTGAGAACAGCGAACCTGTTCAAAAGTCTATAAAGACATAATTATGATAGAATGACATTTGTCAGACATAATTTTTCTAATACTCGTTTAGTGCATTTGACGCTCCCCTACAAGTTTGTCCAACCATTTTGGTCTTCTTTCCATTACAACTTACCTGCAATAACAGCATCAAAACTGAAAAGCTACAGTAACCAATTCATGTGTTGCTGTCAACGAAGAACTTGACTGAGTGCATCAGTTTTACGATTATGTTATTTTCTTTTAATATTTTATTTGTTTAATTTTTAAAGGCATGATTAGAAATTTCATTTTTTGAAATTTAAATTTGAATACAGAAATTTGAATTTAAATAATTGGATTGATTATACCAGGGTTTAAGTGAGTGGTAACAAGATTTAGATCATGGGTTCACTTAAGTTTTTAGGGAACATTTATAGATGAAAAAAGGAATGTTGCATTCTCTTTCATTATCTGGTTGAATGTTTTAGACAAAGGAGATAACAGGGTGTACCTAATGGAGAGAAGAGAGGAGATACATCATTGAGGAGAAAAGAGGTAGGATGCTCCATCTTCCTTCCATGCTTTCTCATGGTTCTGTATGATATGTTTTTTCTTTTTCAAATCGTAGTTTGGCATGAATTTTCTAAACCATATACGATTATAGAAAGTGTATATTTCTTGGTTTTGTTTATTACAATTATTGAGTCTTTCATAATAGCCTCCAAGTCCAAGAAAACTCGTGATCTCAGAACTAACAGATTATTGGATTACCTTTTTTTTATTTCACCACAGCTTTCATTTTCTGAGGATTTATATAAATGCTTGCACAGTCGAGAATCATAACTTGACCAAAATCTACATTCGTTTAACTTTGTATGAGGTTTTTCTGTCACAACATTGCTGATGTTCTACCTGGCTTTTGAAGTATACTACTATGTCAGTGATGAAGATGATCACAGGCTTGCCTATATACTGGTGTAAGGCTCTCTTTTTTAGTTATTTTTATTTTTTGCCCTTTTGATTTTGCAGAGTCTCTGGGTACTGATCCAACAGAATGCGGAATGGAAGCCTTTGCAGTTTTTAGCTTTCATTTTTTTCTATCGAATATTTGAGAAGCTAAAAGCATTTGAGCCTGCAGTATCACCTACTCTAGATGTAAGTCATACTTATGTGGTCTGTCTTAATGAGGAACAACTGATGTTGAGTTCTCAAGCTGTCAGTATCTTGAGTGTGTTTTGTTAGTTAATAATCATTGATCAGTGCACAATCAGTGAAAGCTGCTTCTATAGTTTATAATATAGGCACTCTAGAGGCCCATACAACTTGCTAATGATTTTTTTTTTAAATCTTCTCTAGAAACTTCTTCATGCAATAATTATTTGACGTGGAACATTTTGATTTTTCTTTCTGTTTTGGTTACATTTGCCAAATTTAACATTAAGATCTATATGCTAGAGCAACTCATTCAAAGTAAAGAGGTGTATAAGAAACCTATTTAAAGTCAGTCATGTACTTGCTCTGGGTTTCAGGAATATGGTGAAGATGAAGGCAAGGGACTACGCATGGGAAAGAGGATTCTTCGTTCCCTTGCATTGGTTTTCGGATGTATTGCTGTTTCATCCTTGGTATGCATATTAAGAAAAAATAGATTCCTTACAAGTGTTTTTCCTCTTAAATACTTGTCTGGGTTTCATCCATTTCTTATTCTTTGGCTGCTCAATACTGTCACAGGGCTACACTGGACTCCTCAACCTCATTGAGTTTTTAGGCCGTGCCATTCCTTTGTTTCTTTACAATAACCAGGTATTGCTCTATACTATCTTTCTAGTGTGGTCATCAATTAGTGGAGTATATAGTGCACGGATAGAACTTGCAAGCAACATCTTGGTACCAAATTGAGCTCGAGCCTACTTTTGTAATGTCTTAATGGATCATGAACACAATACTACCAAGTATTATGATGAGTATGATTTCATCCAATTATTGAGTAGATTGGTTCTGCTTGAGTCATTCATATAGGGTATTAACTAATGCATCTATTAGTTAATAATAGGTGCATCATTGGCGCATCCCCTTATAGTGGGTTGGTGGTATATTGTAGTGGTTTTGGATTCGTTTTTGAAGGACAAGAACAGGGAATAATAGGCGCCTAGCTGGATTTTCTGTACAAATGTTTTGTTCCACTTCAACTCTTATAGAAAAAGCACTGCTAGTGTCTGAGATTTAAAAGATATGGTTGGCAACAATGATTTGCATTATTACCAGTTTAATATTTTATTCTATACCCATGCTACACTATTTGATACAACTGTTCCAATTCTTCCCATATACAAGGTTTTTCTTCTCCATTAATGTAACTTTGTACAATCTGAGGTGGAAAACTTTCTAGTTCTTAGTGTTTGCTTGATCATAACGCATGCTAAAAATGTGTAGATGGTTCATCTTCATCCTCGATTATCGTGCATGTTGTTTGGCCTTCTGATGCCATGCGCCTGACAACTCCTATACATTTGTAATTGGCAGGAGCTGCTTGTTACCCTGGCGACATCAATAACCCTCTACATCATGGCTTCCTACTACCGATGATTAGGCTTGCAGGGTCTCCTCTGCTATTTTTGTATCTCAAGAGGTACTCCAGGATTCATGCAAAACACATGGAGGTTGCCACAGCACACCAGTTTTGGTTAAAGCCAATAAGAAGTGGATGCCAAGCCTTGTATATATATATATATGTTCAATTTTACAAGGGGTTATATGTGTGCGCTTGGGTGCTTGACATGTAGTTTGCATTAGTACTCCTTGCAGCTTCGATATTTAAGCCAGCGTTTCGTATTTGTGGTTCATTTCGTTTTCGTTAAGTACTTTGAGGAAACTTATGGAGGAGGGATGTCATGAAAGGTGCAGTATTTATTCTCTTCTGTGTCTTGCATGTGATTCAACAATCAACCTGGGAATGAAGAGTCTGAAAGGTATAGATATATGTATGCTCCTTAGTTGACAGTTGGACATTGTTGAACAGAACACATTTTATTACACGTCCTTGTTCAAGCGATTCATGATGTAGTAGTATGTTTATCATACTTTACCTGCGAAAGATAAAATGCTTAGTGGATCAAATGCTCACAGACAGAGAGAGACCTTAAATAATCGGTAATCATATATCAACAGGAGAAACATGGTTTGAATCATAGTTTATTTCAGTATGTTTATCGTTTTTGTGGTCTGCAACCCATTTTGTTGAAAGTTTCATTTATTTTTCAGTTTTATTTTATTTTTTTGCTAAATAAATTTCATGCTCGTGTTTTCCTCCTTAAATTTGGTGAATTATGTGAATTTGATTTCAAGTCCTTATTCATTTCTTCTTCAGAATCCCCTAAAAGAATAAATATATGTTACATTATAACTCATTGGATCTTTTTTTTTATTGTCAGATATATACTATTGTAGAATGATTTTTATATATTTTTTAAAATTTCCTCTGACGAAGAGGATTCGGTTTTTGTTGGTCGAACTTTTCTTTATATTTAGCGATAAAGTATACGTACAGAAAATAACGGTTGGAAATCCCGAGAAAGAACTTTGGATCACCGGAAGCGTGATTTGAGCGGATGGTGGGATATCGAGAGGCCGGCTCGTTTGATTCTGGGGTTTCTCGTGGAAAAGTGGCGGCTTTTTTTAGGATTTGGTGATCTCTGGAGCACAGAAGCCTCTTCCCTGAGAGGATTGCTGCAGACGAAGCGCAAGGTGTTGATGTAGGTAATTCGAGTGCTAAATGAGCCTCTTGATCCGTGGGTGTGAGGTGAGATTTTCTTCTTTTCCTTCTTGTTTTACCGTAGGTTCTCGAATCTAATTCGTTTTTTCATCATTTGTTCTTCGTCTATGATCCGAGGAGAACAAGAACCTCCTGGCTCTTGTGCGAGACGGAATGGGATGATCTCCTTGAGGTTTTGTTCGGAAGATTTACGATTCTGCAGCTTTCATGCCATTCTTGCTCAATGAGTCAGCGGTGCTGAGAGTAATCAAATCAGTTGAAATGGCTCATCTATATTATTTTTATTTTTCATTTTTTTTCCAGATTAAACTTCCGAGTTCTTGTTTTCCTTCTTAATTTTAGCGGATTATATATCAAGTTTCAAGTCTTTCTTGAAGTTATTTTTCTGAATCCTCCAAGAAGATAAATAATAGTGTACGATTTTCTTACATTTGAAAGTTGAAATTTGTTCTTTTTTTCCCCCCTTCTCTTGGTGACTTTAAATTTGATTCTTGTGCTCAGGTGGGGTTTTTCTTATTTCATCCTTCATCTATCTTTTGTTCCTTAATTTTCTTGCTTTGAATAAAAGCATGGAGTAGTTACAGTAAAGTTCTTGGTGCTGCGAAGGAAAACGACAATTTTTAGTGTATAAGAGCATCCGGTTATGATGACAAGAACAGTCATGAATCCAACCAAGGTTCTGCAAAGCTACCATGCTCAGCACAGGCATGCGCGTGAACGCTTTTGATTCTAACCCAGGACATCAGGCCTATAAGGACATCAGGCATGGTGAGGATCATGACGAAGGAAGCTGCACATTGTTCATGGGGCACTATGGTTTATAAAGACACCCGCACCTAGGTCATTCCTTGGAACAATCTCTGCAGATATATGCTAGAAAAATGTGGCACCTTGACCAAGAGAACTATGCCCCGGGGAACTATCAAGAAACTATTTTAATGGATTATTCACAAGTTATCAGATTGATGCAGCAATTACTATCCTGAAGGAGCACTCTACTTCCCAACTAAACTGAGTGTATGCCATGTTAGTAGCTTCCTCTCAGTTTCTCTTTAATATATATGACTTTTAACTTGTTTTGATAGTCCGTTTCTGTGCCATTTACCCTTATCCCATTATTTTGGGACTTGCACTTTTCACTGGTAACCATGTATTGACATGATTACATCTTTATAAAATTTACTAGGTACAACTCAGCCTTGCTCACACTTCTCTCTCTTTCCCACTTCTGTTCTGCAATCCCAACATACTCTGCAGTGTAATTGAGTATGCCCTTTGTAAGTTCTAACTATGCAGCACTTGATTTTTATATACTTAACTTTGTCTTGTGAGATGTAATCTTTCAAGCTTTCCTAGGTATAGCGGGTGTTTGTGCTGCGTTATGCATGCAATGAAAGCTGTTGATATATGCCACTAACCCTATTATATTATTTCTTCTGTCATCTGCAGCTATTCCATTCTCCTCTTGCATTGCATATGAGATGCCTCCTGATTCTTGTTGTCGCAGGCATTTGTGTGTTATCTTTTCAATTCAGTTTAAGATATAGGTTTCCATGTGTGTATAGATATAGTGAAGGAAACAATGTGGTAGGCACTTATTTTCTTATTATTAGCTTTTACACACAGAATTTTGGTTTGATTTGTTTTCAATTTATATGGATCTCATAATGCAAAGCTTTCATCAGAGTAGATCCTACCATCAGAATGTGGATAGTTTTGAAGTGTTTTATTCCCCTTCAAAGTAAAAAAGATTCTGGTATTAGCTAATTTTAACATGTTGCTGAATTATAAATATGCTCCTCACCTGTAATTACTTATTTACTGCTATGAAATTGAAATGCCATGCATCTCTTCAGAAGTTATATTTTTCGTACATGTTATTTCAACAGTGTAAATGGGAAGCAACAGAAAACAGAATAAATAGAAATAATCTTATTTTTGAGTTATATAATTTTTTATATTATAAATATTGTTACGACCTAATGATCTAAGTTTGGTTCATGGAAAAAAAAATTCTTCTTATGTCATATGGTTGCATATATTGAGTCTCTCTAGAGTGCATATTGCATTGGCCTCATGCATTGAAGATATTTGTGGTATATGTATAATGAAAAGAAACATCCTTAGGTATACATAGTTGTACTAAATTTTTAATAATGACAGGTTTATACATATTTCTGTGTTTATCTGCCTTCTTAATATCTCACACTTATACCTTCCTTATTTGCTAGATTGAACTAACAAATTTTGCATCTATCTTAAGCAGCATTCTGCAACCTTCATAGAAATGATTTTAGTAATCTATTTATGTACTCTTGTACAAACTGTTTATAATCTAAGGTAGAAAGGTTCAGGCGACTTTTGTTTGTTATGGAAGATGGGAAGTTCCTTTCTTCTTTCTCTGTGACATGACTTTTCTTAATGAGCTTGGCATCGTGGTTTGTTTTTAGTAATGACTGGTTCCCTGACACTAAGTTCCAAGATGCAGACCCACTTCTAATAAACTACATTACTAATGAATTGGAGAGGAGTACTTAATACATTATTTGTATTTATCGTCTTATGTGGCTGCATTTTATGGTTTAGCTCATTAGCTAGTTGTGTATATTGTCCACAACCATCAAATTCATCAAAATTAATGCATGTTTGTAATTTTCAGTTGCTATTAGCTTTTAAAGCTGTATCTTTGTTGTTGTTTTTCCAAATCTACCCCTGGGTGGTGTTTTTATCATCTAAAGTGCAAGGAGTATATTAGTTCTTTGTTCTTTGACCTTTCAATATGAATTAACCCTCTTTCGGTTTTTTCATATTTGTACCAAACAATAGATTCCCATTTCAGATTTTATTGGGGTACCGAATAATCGATTCCTGTTCCAGATTTTATTTGGTTGTTCATGACAGTCCATTCAGGTGTCCTTTTAGTAATATGGACAGTAAAACATACAGCCATGTCATCTTCTATACAAATACAACTCTCAGTAGTTCTTTTCTTGAAATAGTTAATGTACAATCTAGTCATCCTATGGTTCTACTGCCTTGTGTGTGTGTTCTTCTACCTGCATCATAAACAAAACTATTAATAGGACAAACTGAAGGCTCACCTTGAGAAACTTCTGCTACAGATGTTAACCATGACCTACAAGTTTCTGATGTAGATTTTTTAGGGCTAGAGTGCAAAATTTTTTACATTTTTATTAAATACCATCTTTGTTGTGGTGGTAGTACATTTTTTTAAAGTACTCATAGGGTAGTGGACGTTATGGACAACTTTGTCTAGATTGCATAACCGGTGTGGTCTCCTTTGATTGTTAAGTTAGATTCCCATGGTCTTAAAAAGAGAAGTTGCAGATTAGAGGGTGAAAGGGGATAGTGACTAAATGTCAACTGTGAGAGTTTAAAGCTTATCTGTAACACCTCTGATTAGTCCCACATCGAAAGTGGGCAGGATTAAGATTGACTTATAAGGGTCTGATGAGTGTACTACTATCAACTTTAACTTAAGCATTTTGGTCAGTGGTTTAGACCAAACGAAGTTGATAGGCTAGTTAGCCCATCAGGCTCGGGTCATGACATTTGGTATTAGAGCCGACCTAGCATTTGGGCATGGTGAGGGGGCTCGAGTAGGAAAGGGCTATCCGTAGACGGAGTCAGAGGACTTGTCACAGCGTGGAGCCACCACTGGGCTACGCCTCACATGCACTATGCTAGGGTTTGATCTGGGTTATGTTGGGACTTGACGAGGACGTCAAGCCTTTGAGTGGGGGTGATTGTAACACCCTTGATTAGTCCCATATCGAAAGTGGGCAGGATTAAGATTGACTTATAAGGGTCTGATGAGTGTACTATTATCAACTTTAGCTTAAGCATTTTGGTCAGTGGTTTCGACCAAACGAAGTTGATAGGCTAGTTAGCCCATCAGGCTCGGGTCATGACAGTTGTAGTTAATGGGTTGGCATGGGCAAATTAGTTCACATGCTAGTTTGTCGGCCAACTTGCCAGTGAGTTTTGCCTTTTCACTGGTTGTGGACTTTTCTTACTTTTCCCATAACAAAACTTTCTTGATGATCTGGACACCATATATTGTTGGAGGTTATAGGATATACAAATCAAAATGGTACATTCTAGACAAGATCTGTGACTCATCGCAAACTTCTTACTCCTGTTATGGTTCATTTATATAAAGTAAATTACTATTTTACGAATGTAGATTTATAAAACAGTCCTCTATATGAAATGAATTTCGGAAGAGTTGATTTTCACTAGAAGTGGAGATCCTGATATGAGGAATTTTCATTGCATTTATAATTTTTTTTAATCTTTTCGGTATGTGATTTCAAAAATAGGGTTTCTACTCCACATCAATATCAGATAATAAACATTAATTTCCTTATGGATTGTAATATTATGAGATTTGACATCAGTAGACAGCCAAATTAGAAATGATAATTGAAATCCTCACTCCCATGATTCTGTGCTATCACTTCTGTGATTCAATTAAACAACTTCAGTCTTGACAATGCAGTTTGGACCTTTTGCTACTACTACATTAGCAAGGGGACCATCTTAATATTTTGCATGTGACTGACTTGATGGGAAACAAATCATTGTATGATTAGCTGCCTTTCCAAGAATGATGACAACCTTTTTATGGTAGAAAATTGTTGTCATGTATTTATCTTCTAGATGAATATTGCTTCTACAGAAAATTGCCTTTTCTACCTTTTTTTTTTAATATTACATCTATGACTGCTGAGATGGTGGTCCCTCCTAACTGTCAACTGACTCAGCTCTACTTGATCCCTTCTTGCCTAAATTTGTCTGATTTAGGACAGCTTAGAGGTTGATATTCAGGTCAAAATCCAGGGTGCAAGGCTTTTTTCGATTATATATATAACCTTGTAATGTTTTATCAGTCTCGTTACTCTTTTTCTGATTGCTATTCTGGGAGTTCTGATAAAGGTGGTTGAAATAAATGGGTATGGTATAATCCTTAAAGTGCAGAAATTTTTATTTGCTGATTAGGTTGGTGTAAATCATGTTTCTAGATATGCAATCATCCAATTCAATGACTTGGTTGTCACTAGTTCTTTAGATAGTACAAACCATTTGTCATTTGGCATCACATAGTTTTGAGATTTCCTTACATAGTAAATCCATTTTGCAAGTCTAGTTTTGACATTTTTTATTTACATTAGTAAATCCATTTTGCAAGAAAGATCTAAATAAGAAGTTTAGACAGGCATAGATGCAAGATTATCATAAAATAACAACACCAGTAAAATTTAGGTAGAGTACATCAACAAGATTTATAATGCTTGCAGTCTACTAGTACCTAAGAAAACAGAGAGTTAACGGCAGCCCAATAGACGTTTCTTGACAGTTTGAACCTTCTGATGAAAACTATCTTTATGAAACATTTATTACCGATAATTTGTTTGGTGAAAAATTTAGGAATCGACCTTGATGTTATTGCTTGCTTAGGTGACATCAAACGATGTTGAGCATTCTATATCTTTATGCTGGAGTGCTTGGTTTTGTGAATGATTCATCTCCATTACGGATCACATAAGTGTTAAAATTGGTTGATTATTTGGAAATTTTAAAGAAACAAGAATGAAAAATGAAAGATGATAGCTAAAAAGTTCAAGAGTTATTGATGGAAGGCTACTGAACTGCCGTTATGGTACTAAACAAATTTTAATTTGGTTTTGGAACCATTCTCAGGTGCATGTTACACTTTATTTAAAAAAAAATATATGCTTCTCAAGGAATAGTGTCTAGCTTGGTTCTTTCATGTACTTGACACGTGCACTCCGTTTTAATGATATTTTTTTAGTTTGATCATGGTACATCAACAAGAGCTAGATGCAATTCTATACTGATGTTGTTTTAATGTAGTAATACTTTTCTTTTCTCAGTTCCAAATATCTGCCTTTTTGGGTGTTTCAATGGTTCTTCACAGTTCTCATGACAGTGTTAATACTTTCTGAGCAAGATCCTCGTCCAGGACTCTGGAATTGCCAGAGTAAATTCCCTCTTTATGAGTTCTTTTGCATCATAATCTCAATATTTGAGAACTTTGAGGCATGGAAGTGTACTAAACCCTGCTTTTCTCTAAAAAAAAAGATGTTCATCAAGGAAAACTGGGCTTGTTGAGGCATGGAAGTGTACCAAACCCTGCTTTTCTCTATAAAAAAGATGTTCATCGAGGAAAACTGGGCTTGTTCACCTCTGATGCCTCGCTGCCTACCATTTTATACGGGAGGCGAGTTGACAAAATGTTCCTTCTGTTTTCTCCAAAAGGCATTAAGAGCTTGTCGTCCGTCATTAGAATCGTAGACTTAGGTGCAGAGTTTGTACTTTCTTAAACTTCTTTGTATCTCAAAGCTATCAGAAGTTTCACATTCTTCATTGGGTCCTGATTTAATAATGACTAATGCTAGATCTTTCTTGCCAGTTACATTCTGAAATATTCTGAGATGTATGTGGAAATCAATGAGAAAGGAAGAGGAGGGTTGTGAAAGAGGCATCTTTGCAGGATAAAGAGAGAAACAGAAACATTGGTCAGAATAAAATAATTGTATGATTGTTTTCCTAGTACTATGGGATTACTAATTCTTCACCTTGGTTTTGTTACCAGATTTAAAAATGACTACTTCGTTGGAAGCAGAACCTGCAAGCCTCCTGCAAGATTTTGGGGTGGAAAAGAGATGTCTGCTGTCATCAGGAATGAGCAGGCCTGCAGATAAACCCTAAGCAAGATTGTTCAAATGGCTCACAAAACCCAAGTAAGGCAATTCTGTAGTGCCAATTATGCATGTGCTAGCTGTCTGTACAATACACCGTAAGTTCTTGATTGTCTATATGAGCAAGTTGCTGTATGGTTCAATCTTTTTTGGTGGAAATTCCCAAGTCAATTCATTCTTGATTGTCTAAACCCAAGATTCATATGTTATTGCTGATCCATATCCCATGTAATTGCTCAGTAGAGTTTATGTTGGGGATCCAAAATAATAATATAAAAATGGGATCAAATTAAGGAATGTTTTATTATTTTAACAATTAGAGAAGCCATCCAGTTTATTCTGCAATAGATTTACAATCCAAAAAAAAAAAGAGAGAGAGAGAGAGAGAGAGAAAGCAGGCATCATTAGTTTCCTTGACATTACTATAATCAGTGGAGCCAAATTGACCATTTATTCTTGAACTCCTAATGTTTTGTTGATTTTGTTGAGGTGTATTATTCCCTATTGACCTTTTCCATGGTGTGCAAACTCTCTTTGAACATTGCCATGGTATTTCTACTATGATTTCCCATGGTGTGCAAGCTCTCTTTAGCTCAAAGGTCTTATGGTTTCTCATCTGTCTAGATCATCCAACACTGCAAGCCACTTGGGTATCTTTTGGTAGATCTCAATCTTCATCCTTTTATACTTACTCATTAAAGCTATGCAGTGTCTTTAAAAAGAAAAAAGCATTGTCATAGTATCAAAAAAGCCTTTATATTTTGCTATCTAAAATGTGAGTTTATGTATTATTTTATTAGACTTTGGTACTATGTTCAAATGAATTAGGTAGAAATGGTTGGTATTGACATATAATGCAGGGAACGAAGAATAATAGGAAGATTAATATGCTCTCTCTCTCTCTCTCTCTCTCTCTCTCTCTCTCTCTATCACACACACACACACATTAATATGCTCTTAAATTTAAGTACCAATGCATACATCGAACTAAACAGTATCCTCATCAGTGTGTTTGTTGAAATAGTTGGCGTGCATAGAATGCGAAATAGACAGACAATTTAATCAGGCAAAATTGGTGGAATTATGGATCCAACACATGAATAAATATTTGGTTTTCTACTAAGTTACAAGTAAAAATAATATATTATAATCATGTATATCTCCATTGTGATTAGTAAGAAATTAATGATTTATTATTATCTCCAATCAAAACAGTCTTATTATAAGCACACTCTAAGATTGCAATTATTATGATTCGAGCTTGATGGGCTAACTAGCCTATTAACTTCGTTTGGTCTAATCCACTGACTAAAATGCTTAAGTTGAAGTTTATAATAGTACACTTATCATACCCTTATAAGCCAATTTTGATGTGGGACTAACCAGGGATGTTATAATCACCCTCACTCAAAGGTTACAATCACCCCCACTCAAAGGCTTGACGTCCTCGTCAAGCCCCAACATAACCCAGATCAGACCCTAGCATAATGCATATGAGGCATAGCCTAGTGGTGGCTCTACGCCATGATGAGTTCTCTGACTCCGTCTACGGATAGCCCTTTCCTACTCGAGCCCCCTCACCATGCCCAAATGCTAGGTCGGCTCTGATACCAAATATTATGACTCAAGCCTGATGGGCTAACTAGTCTATCAACTTCGTTTGGTCTAATCCACTGACCAAAATACTTAAGCTGAAGTTTATAGTAGTACACTCATCAGACCCTTATAAGTCAATTTTAGTCTTGCTCACTTTCCACGTGGGACTAATTACAACAATGATTATCTTTATTTCTTTCAGTACAAGTGAGCCATGGAATTAATGATGCAACTCGATCATTATAATTCGCAGTGTGCATCTAATCATCTCTCTCTCTCTCTCTCTCTATATATATATATATATATATATATATCACTTATGTGAGGAGACTGTCATTAAAGTTCTTTACACTGTTCTTTGTCATGACCAGCACAACACTTGGTCGCTCGAGCACTTCATTATTTCCATGGATGGTAGGCCAACACGATGATGCCTGCACTCACGTTTCTTTTCTCGCACACAACAAGATTCAGAATCTTGCAGGCTTAGCTGATGCTGCTCTTTGCATAAATATTATTTTGTTGTGATGACAAGTATTTTCTATTTTACTTACTAATCCAAGAAAAAACTTGGATTTCTTTCCCAAAGCTTTTCATTTCAAAAATTTTTAATATCTAAAGTATTATTATGTTTATCCTTCGGATTAGTTATAATATTTTTAATACTATATTATATTATTATTTTTAATAATATTAGAAGGATCTTTAGCATTGTATAAAAATATTATAATATATTTTTTTATTTTTTTTAACAATAATAGAAAATACTATAACTTAATATAAAAATATAATATTTTTATAGTATTTTTTAATATTATTAAAAAAATATATAATATGGTGTAAAAAATTATAATTAAATCAGGATCTTAAGAAATTCTAAAAATAATAACGTTTTCTAGAAAAATCGAGAAAGAGAAGCTAATCTTTTACACTATGTTACATGAATCAATTTAATTATAATATTTTTAAGCAATATCAAAACAATATCATAATAAAATATTTCAAAAATAAAAATTTATTTTTAAATAATATTTAAAAAAATAAATTTAAAAAAACTAAATATAAAAATAATATAATACACTATTATATATATATATTAATATTATTAAAAAAATAATATATTATAGTGTAAAAACATTATAATTGAATTGGGATCTGTTTATAGGAAAAATAATAATAATAAATGACTGGAGATATTTCAGTTAAGAAATTCTAAAAATAAGAACTTTTTTCGTAGAAAAATCGATTTTTGTTTTTTTTTGGGGGGGGGGGGGAATTGATTTATCACAATATGATTTTGTGAAGGAAAACATGTTAATTACATGCATCTAATTGTGGAGGTATAATGTCACCCTCCACCCAAGTTAATCTTTTATCCTGTCACATCACCTTTCATCCCACTGTCAACATGTCTCTCCATCCACCAAAAAGAACCCTCTGCTTCTCTCTCTCTCTC